AATGGAGCCTCCCAGGGTGCTGGACAGGTGGCCATGGGAGGTCAGTAGGAGCCTGTGCAAGATGTTGGAATTGGTGTGATCATTGTTTAACACAGACCAGAATCTTGAACAAGCCATGTTCTCTAGTAAAGGAATGTCTCTGCACAGTGTTCCCTTTCCTCCCCCACCCACTGCTGGCATGCAGAGGAAGGTAAGTAATATCCCTTAAACTGATTGCACTTGGCTTTCTGCTTCAAAGCCTGTCTGGGGCATTGCAGGCTCCACCATCCTGCTTTTCCTCATCACCTGGTCCCATTCAGAGAAGCACGAGTGCCGGGAAGATTTGCTCTGTCTCGGCTCGCTTGGGAAATCACTGGGGGTTTTCCCTGAACATTTGTTCATTGTTAGGGGCTTCCTCCTGCCAGCCTTCCTAGATGGCTGGATCTTGTCCATGTACTGGGAGATATTCCAGGATGACTTGAGGGGAAAGAGAAATGGCTGCAGCCCATATGAGGTGGGAGGGAGGGGGAAGTCTGGGTTATTAGCGCCCATGAAGGGCTGTCAGGAAGGGGGAAAGGCATCAGACCCCAAAAGTCAGGAGGTCTAGGCTTGACGCCCTCTGTGTCCCTAGTTATCCCCTCTCTGGGCTTCAACTTTCCATCTACAAAATGCAGTGGATCTCAAAGGGCTCTTTGAGGAAAGCAGTCATGTTTTACTGAGAGATCCATCCCAGCACGCTGCCCCCATTCACATTGATCTTGAAAATTTGATCTCGTGAAAATACATTCTTCCTCCAGTCTTCAGGATCCCTGGCCTGGAAGAAGGCCACAGCTTTGTGATTGGTCTCCCTGCCTTCTGCTGGGATGACATTTGTAAATTAGAAATCTGACGGTGGACGACACATACAAGGCCCTTCAAGACCAGAGCTTGTTATTGTCTCTCATCCTCAGCTCCTTTCCTCCATGGCTGTGTGTTTCAGCTCATCCAAACACCTTACTTTTCCCTGGGATGTAAAATTTTATGTTCTGCCTCTCTGCTCCTCATCTGAAATAGAAGTATCAGAATAATGCAGTTTGGAAAGCCAGGAAAACCTGGGCCCAGACCTAGCTCTGCCATTTACTGCCTTTATGAATTTGGGCATGCTGGATTCCTTCTTTGAACTCACTTCATTGTTTCTAAAGTGTGTTGGAAGTGAGAATTAGTGATAAGGATAGTTTCCCAGTCTAGTTTTTGACTCATAATAGGTAGTCAATAAATCACTGACATCATTATTATCATTATTACCCTCTTTTTGGTAAATTCCTACTTATCTTTTAAAACCTAGCTCCAATGTTAACTCCTCTGTGATGCTTCTCCAAGTCCTAGAGAGAAAGACTTGCTTTTTTTTTTTTTTTTTTTTTTTTTTTTAGAGCTTTGTTCCAAGATCTCATAGGACTCTCACCACCTTGTGATTCCACCACCTTATTGTCTATTTATATGTTTGTTTTGTCCACCAGTTGGCAGGTTCCTTGCAGGAAAGGCCTGTCCTGGCATAGGTGCTCAGTGAATGTTAAGTGAAGGAACAAATGACTGGTTTTGTTCTTGGGTAGAAAGAACTTTCATTAAAAACCCAAAGGAAGGAAAAGGTCAGAATGTGTAGGCTTGTTTAGTCTGCTCTGCCCGATTAACTAGGCACGCCCACCCTCTCTTGATCCCCCTGCTAGCCTGTTTTTTGGCAAGTGTTGGGAGGTCATGTGGCATCCTGTCTCCTTATCGAGGCGGGTGTGATGTGGCTAGGGAAGCCTCCACACCCTCTATCCAAATACCCTGGCTAGCTCTAGCCATTGGGAGTGCTTGAAAAACAAATTCAGCATTTGTCCCTGGGAGAGCTGCAGAGACAATGATGTAACTATTAGATATAACAAATATAACAACAATATACACCAATGTAAATGTGACAATCAAAGCTTCTCAAAAGTGCCTGGTAAATCTTGTCTGCATGTAACACACTGCCAGGATGGCAGGCCACAAAGGGGTGTACGGCAAGTCCTAAAGTCTCTGGAAATGAGGGCTTCTTCAAGCTATAACTGATGTGTTTACAAATAAAGGAAAGTGGCCTGGAGTGGTAAAAAGAGTATGGATTTTAAAGCTGGAGAGATCAAAATTTGAACACTGATCGGTTGAAACTTAACCTTTCTAATCTTAATTACCTATTTCTTCATTGAGGAATTCTTACAGGTTGATGGAATGTGAAATGAGCAAGATTTAGAAAAGTCTTTTGTCATCTTCTAAATGTGCAAGGTTTTATGTTTTCTAAGTACTTTATAAATGACACTGTTCATTCAAAAACACTCAGAGAGGGTAAGCAGAGTGATTTTTTTTTCAGAGTGATTATTATTAATGTTGGCTATTTCCCCTTGTTCCTCTGGGGTTTACTCCTGTCCTTTACTGCCTCCTGTCCTTTACTGCCCTGCTCTGTGCCTCAGGAGACTGATCTCTAAAGACACAAGGGGGTCCCATGACTTCTGGATTTCCATAAATGATAGAGTCCAAATCCTAGCTCCGGCCTGAGCTAGTCATTGGACCATAGGCTCATGACTACTTCCACAAACCTCTACTTTATTCTAAAAATAAATAAATAGATGATAGATAGATAAGTAGAGGAAATACCACTTATTCTGCTCATCTCTGTTCATTAAAACAAAATCATTGCTGGGGCACCTGGGTGGCTCAGTCGGTTGGGTGTCTGCCCTTGGCTCAGGTCATGATCCCAGGGACCTGGGATCAAGTCCTGTATCGGGCTCCCTGCTCAATGGGGGGGTCTGCTGCTCCCTCTACCCCTCTCCCTGCTCTCTCTCTCTCTCTTTTAAGCTCTCTCTCAAATAAATAAAATCTTTAAAAAACCAAGATCATTGCTAATTGCCAGGAAACACTTGCTTGAATCTAAATTTTCTTATTGCTTACTTTCCATTGCCAAAAGGTACTATTCTTAAGAATGATTCAGTCAGAGCACCTGGGTGGCTTAATCAGTTAAGCATCTGCCTTCCACTCAGGTCATGATCTTGGGGGTCCTGGGATCGAGTACTGATCGGGCTCCCTGCTCTGAGGGGAGCCTGCTTCTCCCTCTGTCTCTCTCTCTCTGTCTATAATGAATAAATAAATAAAATCTTAAAAAAATAGAGAATGATCCAATTATTCAGAGATTCATTCAACCAATCTTGCATGTACTCTTTCATTTGACTGACATTAATTATGCAGCTACTATGTCAGAGACTGACAAACTTTTTCTATAATGGGCCAGATAGTAAGTATTTTAGGATTATGGCCCATACAGTTTTGGTTGAAACTACTTGACTATTCAACTCTGACATTGTAGTATGAAAGCAGCCATAGATAACAGGTAAGTGACTAGAAGTAGCATTGTTCCAATAAAACTTTATATACAAGAACAATTGGAAGGCCAGATTTTGGCCACAGGCGATAGTTTGCCAACCTATGTACTACAGGCCAAAGATGGTGTTAGGTCTTAGAGACAAAGAAGATCTCAAGATGCTCACACACAGTTTTGTGGGAAAGAAATTAACGAATAAGATAAAGGTGGATTGGCACTCTGTGAGAAGTCTCCATAGAGTTTAGTGGGGGTGTAGAAGGAAGAAGAGGCATTTCTTCACGTGTGAAGGGGGGAGGAGGGAAAGGTTAAAATTTCATGTAGAGACAATAAGAAACTAGGGTATGAGTGGGTTTCTGGGGGCATGGCATGCTAAGGAGTTTGGATTTATTCTCTGAGCCAAGGAGAAGCATATTAGTGGATGGACGTAAAGCATGTGGGCTTTGGTTTAATTGCTGATTTGCCTATGTAGTAATTACATGGTATTTTTTCCTCTGAAATTATAATTATCAGCATTTCCTTCATAGGATTGCTGTGAGGCTAAGATGTAACAATTAATGTAAAGACTTTAGCAGGATACTGAACATATAATAAATGGTAGGAATACATGGATAGGTTTTTGTTTTAGAAAGATTACTCTGACATGATAAATGTATTAGAAGGCTCTAATACTGGAGGCAGGAAAACCAATCAGGAAATGATGATAGCAATCCACAGGAGAGACAGGGAAAGCCTGAACTCAGCAGAGGCAGAGGAGATGGAAAGAAGACATAAACAGCTCTTGATGGCTAATTTGATATTACAGTGAGGGATAGAAAGGTCAACATTATATCCAGAATTTTAGGTAACTAGTCATAGCATTTACCAAGTGAAGGAGCATAGGACGAAAGCCAGATTTGGGGGGAATGTATTAAATTCCTTTTTGAGTGCATCAGTTGAATGGAAGTGTCCAGTAGCCAGTTGGCTGTACACTTCAGGTTGGAATTTCATAATTAGAAATCAGCCTCAATAAAAGAATTATCAACATGAAACCCTGGAGCAGATGAAATTATTCAGAAAGTATTAATAGCTAAAAAAGAAAAAGTCAAATTGGGAAACTTGGCATTTTAGGAGAGGCAGATATAAAGAATCTCTATATAAATATATCTCCAAGAAGGTAATATACACATAGCCATGAAGGAAATATATAAGCGTACATATGTACCAGCATGGAGGAAATGTCAGAGTGGGTCAGGAAGCTCAGTAAGGACTCACATCTCAGAAGCCAATGAAAGAGAGTTAGAAGAAGAGGAAGCCAGAGTATTATCAAATGCCCCAAGACAGTAAACCAAGTCCATGACTGAGAATCACTGTCAATCAGGCAATTTGCAGTTAGGCAGTGATTGTTAACTTCAACTAAGGCAGATTCAGTAGAGCAGTGAAGAGCTGCAGATTGTCATACATGGAGGACTGGATGGGAATTAGGGAGGTAAGGACAATGATGGTCGACCACGTTTGGGAGATTTGGTGAAGAGAAAGGGACATGGGCACAGAAGCTAGAAGAAGACATGGAGCAACTTTATTCTGACCTTTTAGAGATTGAATATACAGGAGAGAAAACATTTTTGGAGGAGTTAGGTGAAGATCAGCTGGGGAAAGAGATGGAAGACTTTACCTGGAAAGGAGAAAGATGTCTATCGGTCCGGCACAGGATCCCAGGAGGTACGCTGGATTTAGATGTAGATGTTGTAATTTGTGGTTCTGAAGGAGAGTTTTCAAGTACTTATCTGATAGCCTCAGTTTTCTCTCTGAAAAGTCAACCCGTTTATCTGCTATGAGAAGGGGAGCAGCAATTAGGAAGGTGACTTGACCAGAGTACGATGTGGAATGTTTGCTCTGGCAAAGAGGCCCAATGAGCTTGGAGACCATAAATTTGGGGTGGCAGCAATCCATCTACTTGTGTCATTTCTTCCAACAGTGTTCAGCAACTAGGGAAGGAGAAGGGGAGAAGGCAGATGCCTACAGTGATACGAGGCTGCGGATCTGAGTACAATGTGGTGGAAGAGAGATTGAGAGCATGAAGGCGTTGACTACAAAAAGATTATGGTGATGGGCCACGTAGTTCTAGGGAGTAGGGAAGGAAGTAAAAGCAGGAGGAGGCTCACAGTGCAAATAACGGGAGGGTTGTAATGAAGTAAAAAAAAAATGTGTGGTAGGGTTAAGGAAGGGAAAACTGGACTGATAGGAAGTGAGAGCTAGAGATTTGGATATTACAGTTGAAGATGTCAGGGGTGGAACGTTTCCTTTTAATGATAAGCTTCAGGATGTAGCCATAAAATACACCAGTAAATTTGTGCTCTAGAAGCTAGTCAGAAGTGATACTAGTAACATATAGTCACATCTGTGATATTTAGCAGATTGCAAAAGCACTTTCAAAACTATTATCTCACTTGACCTCATCCTATGAGATGAATGGGGCAGGAATTATCTCAATTATCATCTTAATTTTACACATGAAACCGTTGAGGCTTGAAGATATTAAGTATCTTACCAGGCTGGTTAAGTGATGGAAATTCCAACTAGAATGAAATCACTTGCATCTGGACTGAAGGTGAGAAAAAAACCCAGTTGTTTTCCCCAATTCAGACACTTCGGTGCTAAATATACACTGAAGGAATATTCTAGATGGGATTGGTTTCACAAAAAACAACCGGGCCACAACCAAGGGAGAGGTTGGTGAACCCAGAGTCGTGGAGGGGTTTGGTTTTGTTTTATTATCCCCGAAAAAAAACATTCTTTACCTGTTCCATCACATCCAGTAATTTCATGAGGATTGGGTGATCATGTTCCCTGACTCTACTTATCAGCAGAGGTCTTCCCGGAAGTCCTGCTTCTCATTTGTGCTGGAGACTGCAGTCTCCCTGGAGCCCCCTTTGGGCTCTTCGCCTGGGTGAAGATGGATGGAGATCAGATCCAGCAGCTGTGGGTGGAGGAGGGTCCAGGAAGCAGGCGCCCAGCGAGCTAATTCATCCAAATTGCAAAACAGAGGCAGGATCTGGGGGAGCTGGATGTGGCCCAAACAGGGTAAGGGGGAGAGATGCCCTTCCATTTCCAGCTCAGATTTCTCCTTTGCCTCTTTTGCTTCATGCTGGCCTGTTCCAGTCCCAAACTGGGTGTCAGGTTCCTTCTCAATCCCTGATGGTATCCTGGTTCCTCAACCAGACCCCACATCTTGGCCTATAAAAGTTATTAACTCCCACCCAATCCCTACCCCTGCCTTTTCACGTTCTATTCATCAGGAAATACTACATAAGCCAAACCACTGTGGTGTTTGGAAGGACCAAACTGGAGTCTACTTTATTTCTGCCCTTTTCTACTCTCTGACCTTATGTGTGTCTTTCCCTCGGCTTCATCTTCCCATCTGTGGAATTAGTTGGATGAATTAACCCTAGTGGCAAATAGGTCTGTTTATAAACACTGACTCTGGGCCACTGGGCATGGCTTCTTGGATCTCTATGTCAAGAAGGATCCTGAGGTGTGCCGGGGTTCTGGAGAACTAGCACTGCCCTGTGCCCTTATGTTAGTGGTTCTGAAACTAGTGTGCATCTTAGCTCCCTGGAGTGGTTGTTAAAAAGTGCTGGGTCCCAGACATAGAGTTTCTGAATCAGTGGGCCTGAGGTATGGCCCAAGAATTTGCATTTCTAGCAAGTTCCCAGGTGAAGTTAGTGGTCTTGGTCTAGGGGCCACATTTTAGAACCACTACTATAGAATTTAATTTCTTATGGGCTACTTTGGTTTTCTTGAAATGCAAGCTTCATCATTAGCTAGTTGCCACAAAGGCACAGACATAAGGCCCCAAGCTTCTTTAAGGCAGGTTAAGGGAGGTAAGAGAGCTATTAAATAGTACAAGTTGTACATCTGGTCTTTAGAAAAAAAGAAAAAAGAGTAGTCAAGTTATAAGCATGAAATTCTGTGTTTTTCTAGTTCATATTTAACTACTATGGGGAGACAGAAAGAATATGGGCTTCGGAATCAGATACACCAGAGTTGAGATTGTGGTTTGACCTTGGACCAGTTACCAAACTTTTCAGCTTGACTTTATGTAGTGAATTCACTACCTCTTCTGTTTTGTTCACTCTTCCATTCCCAACACCTTATAGTCAATAGTCAGAACTATTTTTCTTTTCTTTTTTTTTTTTTAAAGATTTTATTTATTTATTCATGAGAGACACAGAGAGAGAGGCAGAGACACAGGCAGAGGGAGAAGGAGGCTCCATGCAGGGAGCCTGTCGTGGACTCGATCCCAGGACTCCAGGATCACGCCCTGGGCCAAAGGAAGGCGCTAAACTGCTGAGCCACACAGGCATCCCAGAACTATTTTTCGAATGAATATGCAATGATTTGCAAGAGATAAATCTACAGATCTTCTACAGAAACTATTTTCTCTTTTTGCCCCCTCAATGTGTAGAAATTAACCAGTTAATTTTAAAATGAGCTTTAAAAAATTTCATCTTTAAGTGTGGAGGACTGGATGTTATATGCCTCTATGTTACTCAGCTTATCACAGACTCAGATTTGATTTAAAAAAAAATGAAGCTTATTTCCTACAGTGACTCTAATCTTGCTCATGAACCTCACCCTTGTGCTTGACAATGAGGTGTAGGAGAGAGGGACTAACAGGGAACATGATCTGTTTTACCTCTTCTGAGTGACTTAGTCTCTTTCTCATACATGTTTGGTCTTCCAGAACTCTCTCTGCCTTCTTCCTCTCTTGGATGGCTCTCTGGGTAAAGAGGTGGCTGTGTGATTCCATTGTGGCCAGGAGAGGACCCCTCACTGGTCCTGTGGCTCAGTGGTTGGTCTGAGCTTGCCTCCAGAACAATGCTCACTGTGGTCTCTTTGGAGCATCACTCAGGCACTCCACAGAGTCCACTCAGAGGCCTGGCCATTTCCCTCTGGTTGCTCACATCAAGTCCTCTGTGGCCTTTTGGTCCTTTTCTTGAGACCCTGGAACTCTCTTAGGATCCCGGTGTCTCCTCACCTGAGTAAGGGCAATTTCCGCATTCCTGTCTGCAGTGTAGCTAGGATACTTATTCATCTCTTAGGTACAGCTACACTCAAAAAAGTCAATATGGTTTCATCGAAAGAACTCAGAAAGTAAGTTCTAGAAGACCTGTGTTTGAGTCTTTTCATTACCTCTCTTCTGGCTATGGGACTTTGAAGTTTTTATTTAGTCCCTTGCACTTCCATTTCATCTCTACCAAGAGGATCATATAATGGTATTAAAGAAAGAACTGATATGTTGATTAAAAAATGTTACCTGTAACAAATGTTAGTAAGAGCAGAACTTTGTCCCATTCTTTGGCAGATATTTTTTGAGAAGTTATTATGTATATTAACTCTAGGGAAATAAAGGATACTAGGATACTAACTTGGTTGTAGCCCTGGGGAGGGGGAGTGAGGTCCTCATCCACAAACTGTACAGAGAAGCACAGGGCATTGCAGGATATGGAGCACAGACCTGAGATCCTGTTTTGCCCAGTGTGCCACTTCAGCTCTCAAAGGCTCTGGGGCCTAATATATAATGGGAATAATATCAGCATTGGGAGTATTGTGAGTGTGTGTGTACAGGTGTACATGAAGATACATGAAATTTAAGGGTAGGCATGTTGTCGGTAGTAAGGAGGGAATCACATAGGCGTTGTAATTAGAATGCTAATTATGATGAATATATTTATCCTTCTTCTCATGAAACTACAGTCATCCTAGAGTTGGAAAAAGGGAAATGATCTTCAGCCAAAACTCAAAGAAAACAAACTTACTCAACTTTTATTTTTTATTTATTTTATTATTATTTTTAAATATTTTATTTATTTTTTCATGAGAGACCCAGAGGAAGAGGCAGAGACACAGGCAGAGGGAGAAGCAGACTTAATGATGGAAGCCTGATGTGGGACTCGATCCTGAGACCCCAGGATCATGCCCTGAGACAAAGACAGACACTCAGCCGCTGAGCCACCCAGGTGTCCCAATTTACTCAACTTTTAAAAGATGAACACGTAAAACCAAATATGTTTGGCTCTAATCTTGAAAAACAAAAGCTCCTTGAATTTAAGGACTCTGCAGGGAGATCTGGAGTTGTGAGGAGGGCTCTTGAGGTTCCTAAACTAGAGAACTTATTTTTATTTTTATTTATTTATTTTTTTAATAAATTTATTTTTTGTTGGTGTTCAATTTGCCAACATACTTAATATAAGAAACAGGGAGTATAGAATTGTCAGCTTGTCAATAGAACAAATGCCTTATTTCGTGCAGAACTGCCCACCCTCAAATCTTGACCATACTTTGCAAATGCTGTATTTTATTTGCCAAACTACTCCATCCAGTTTTATGTGAGCCATGGAATATGTAGCAGCAGCGTATTTGGTGGAGCACGTATGGTATTTAACCTTGGATACACATAGAATAGTATCACTGTGGAACCAGGAATGAATGTGAAGCATCTGCTGAGCACATCTGAATCTTCAGGACTGAGAGGGTTTCCAAGTTGGAGGAAGTGGCTACTTAGGACCTCAGGAGATCCAGCCCTATGTTGCTATGTGTCCCGTCATGATCATAGGATCAGAGACAGTCCCAGCCAGAGGGCAGGGTCAGGGTGGTGAGGGCACAGGACAAGTATAATCCTTTTTTATGCAGGTGAAATGATGGGAGAAGCCCTATGAGGAGGGCCTACCCTGGGAAGCCCCTGTGGTGTGCTGTTTCATTTAACTCTGGATGCAGCTCTGCAGGAGAGCTGTTACTGCTTCTGTTTTCCA